CATTGTATTACAGACCATGGGAATTTGTATAATTCTCACAAACCGAAAGGAGTATCCTAAGGTCCTTAATGGAAGGTCTTAGGAGCATCACACAGTAAAAAGTACAAGAATAAGATGTTGTCTTAAAGCCCAAGCCATCTTAAAATAGTTTTGGTAACGCCATGAATGGATATAACGCTTTACTTCGACATATTTTTTATCAGGCTATAACACGGCTATAATAAACAGTTTCAATATTTGGTGGAGGGCGTCCGAATTGTCAGCGAAAATTATTTAAATTAAAATAGTCGTGTCCGAGTTGTCAGCAATCCTATTTATTCAAAATTCTGTAACAGCTGTTCCTAAGGACAAGCCTCTGTAAGAGATAAGCTTGCTATTACCAGAGTTTAGTTGCATTTCATTGTGATGTTTGTAATTTTTGGAAAAGAAATGGTTTGAAAAAGGTGGGGCAAAAATAACGCATTTTCCGATCGATGTTCAAGCGCTTACACTAAGGCTAAGATGGTAGCTTACCATCAAGCGGGCGAGATGTGTTTATTTGTCAATTTTTTTACATTAAAAACATAAGTCTTCATATTAGGTTAGTTACTTTATATTTTTAATTTTATCTGTTTTTAAGAAAATTCATTGATTTTGAAACTGAGGAACATCAAAGCCTAACCCGAAAATGTTCTACTTACACACAAACAATAAAGATTTTATCATTACTTTCTGACTGAATAAATTCACGACTGACAGTAAGAAATTTGATAAGGGAGCTTGTTCATTTAGGATGTGTTTACGCGAAATGGTTTCTGTGTAGGTAGATGATATTAAAGGAAACAACAGGTGCACGGAGCCTCAAAAACCTTTGTATTGTTCAGGTAACTCTGTGTATAGCACAATTGCTTAGCCCAATCACTGTGTATAGCAGAAGGTAAGGTGATTAATTCATACAAATTCATTCTTTTGTGGTATTAACTATGACATATTATGATATCGTCAGGTGCTAAATGTTAATGACAGATTGGGGAATGATGTTAAAAGCAATGCTGTGGAACGAAAGAAGGTGTGGTGGCAAAATTTAAAGGAATATGTATCCAAATGGCTTGGCCACTTAGAAGAAATGGTTGAAAGACGTCTTGCGAATGAAATTCTTAGACCGAATTGACAGAAAGCGTCGTCAAAAGAGGTCGTTGGTAAAACACTGAAAGTGCTTACTGCGATCAAAGTGCTAAGCACCGGAACCGATGCAGAGGATGGATAAGAGAGAGTCAGTCGGTCATGGAGATATCACCGTCTGACCTGTGGAAATAAGGCCTGACCTTATTGTATGCATTTTTTATACAACTACGTAAAGTTGAGAAATTGCATCAATATAAAAATAACGAAGTCACCTTGCATTAAAATAAGATGATAACAAAAATAGGTAGTATGCATTATCACCCCCTTTGTATGAATAGTGCTACGAATACGATACAGTGTATTGTAAATATATTAAGTATGAGCTATTGAATCTGGGATCATCATCAGGCTATTGGGGTGCTTCCTTCTAAATGGACAGAATCATATGTGAGATATATATGGTCCGCGTGGATTGTTTTCTAGTAAAGTTTTCTTAAGATTAATTTGTTCTCCTTTAATTCACCGTAAATCCTTCCTTATTTGTCTGTGCAACCTACCTTGCTATTGTTACTACTGCTGTATTCAGTTCGTATTTCTTTAAGTGTACAAATAAAGTCCAATCTATATCTTAAACTGGGTCAAGCTAGAGCCGCGATGCAGCTGAAATGTTTCGCAGTCGTGGGTCAAAGACGCCAACGGTTTTGCAATCCTACTAGTCACAAGGCGATTCATACCACTGATCATTTGTTTGGATGAGAAAACATCATTTGTCGCGTATGAAAACGTGATTTTATATTGCTAGCAATGCATATTAGCATAACGCAACCAAAATAAGAATAATTTATTTATGCAGAGTTTATTTAAACTATATCGGTTTGAAACAATCAATATACTTACATAGTTACAAAATTAAATTATTAGCATTATTAGTAGGTTACTATGTCAGTGACAGGTAAATCCATTTCATTAGAAAAACAATTACATTCAATTCAATGGATATTGAGTTTTGGTTGAATTAGTTAACACTTTTATCAGTCAACATTTGGAAGGGTCTGCTGATGCTGAGGACTAAATCCACTTTGGAAAATAATTTATTAGTAGGTCATGGAATAATAACTTTATTTATTTATGCAAGTATGTATGTGTGTGTGTCCCAGTCTCCTACTTAATACAACAGAACGATTGGCGGAAGTGGCGATTTCTACAATCTTCAGACAAGAATTATGATTTTGATACTTCTCTTCATAATATAAAATTAAGTTGCTTTTCGCACCTTTCTTTATATCCACTAAGGCCCGTATTACAGAAAAATTCTCAGTGATTGATCTAGTCTTGAGCATAGTTAGAAAGGTTTGTCGCTATATATAGCACATAGCGACATCCCTTTCTAACTGTACTCAAGTAAAGATCAACACTTAATTGTCATTCTGTAATTCCTAAAATGACGCAACGGGTTTGATGAAGTTTTCACCATGTGTTAGGTGATTTTACACAAAAGGTTATACGTGTAAAAAAAGCTCGAGGGCAAAAATATAGTCTACACTGAAGCGAAACTTCACACTAGAATTTATAAATAAACAAATTCTGACAACTCACATAAATAAGGTATGCTTGTTCGTAATCTTGTAAGTACTATAGGAAATAAAAATGATAACTAACTAGACTCTAGGACAAAAATATACTCTATTCTGCTCATTACACAAAAGGATGAATACTTGTTGTAGTAAGGTCTCTTTCCCACATAAGAACTAGACCATTATTGCTTTACTACTAATACGTCTACAGTTTGCTATGTAGAAAATTACCTAGATAATTATTTTACAATGCGTATGATAACAGCGTTCACCTATAAAAAATCGTTTCACAAGTTGGATCGGGTTTCAACATTCACTCATTGTAAGATTTTCTATTATTGTGTAGGCGTGTAACTTTGAATGGGTGTTTAACAAATGTAGATACAGTTTAAATCTAAAATACGAGTATTCCCAAGAAGAGAATGTTATTTTTATTAACAAGCCGATCTTTTTAAATATATAGGTACTTGTGCATGTTGAAACCCCTATTTCTTCTAAACTAGTATTTTCTAATAAGCATGTTATATAATATTGAACCACATAAAAACAATTCAAATATGAAACAAAGCTACTTTAATAGTCGGAATCCATCATTGGTATAATTTTATCCTGTCTGGAATATAATTAACTAATGGGTTCTCCGGCGGTTAAAGTGGCTTTGTTTCGCATTAAAATAGTTGTTTGTATTATATGGTTCAATATTACATAACAGAATTCTAGACTACTTTTGTTTGTTTTTTTTCTTTTCAGTTATTATTAAAAGATCATTTTAAAAAAGTCGGGCATTTTATTTTTTTTATTTATATCACAAGTGCGCAATTGAGCATATTGCCATAATTATTATTGGTCAATGCTTATGAATTAATATTTTGATCTAAGATATACGCCATTGCTTCGGGAGACTGGCTACAAAATAACATAATATTGTATGTTTTGTTGTTGTCTCGATGGCGTATCAATTTATTCAAATCAATCATTTTACTATTGAATATATATCTACTATTCATTTGCATCAAATAAAACATAAATTTAAAACTCGTTTAATGAGATCAACCTTATTATAAATACACCTAAATTGTAACAAAATGCAATTACATTGCTTTCGGCTGGGAAAGGAATTTGGATTGTGAATTTGTAAGTGATGATGACACTCTGCGATTGAGCTGCCCGCTATGCCAGTACGCACGCACGAAGCGTTCACTGGGTCACTGATAAAATCAGCTATTCACCAAAACAATAATGTCGATTTTGTTGGACACGTATCTCTTTTAATTCACACGAACATAATAAATGAAGCTGGAATTAGCAGACACATCCAGCAGCGGCACTATCACAAAACATATTTCTGACAACTGTTTCGGTTTACCTATTTATTTAAAAGTAAAGGAAAGTAATAAAGTTGTTTTCACGAGGGTACCTAACGCTGTTATCAATTATCGGCAAGGTGAAATTTGTGAGAAAAAGACATAAATCGTCTTTTTCGAAGCGATTTTTCAAGAAAAAACTTTTGCTCATGCCTTTGAAACGTATTTCTGGCCACTGTTTAGGTTTTTATAATTTATTTAAAAGTACAGGTAAGTAGTGAAACTGAGATCACGAAGGTATCGCACGCTGTTTTCACGTGAAAAATCGCACAAATCGTCGTTTTTCACAAATGTCACCTTAGCTATATAGTACTTGAAAATGACCTCGTAAAAACAACTTGATTACTTTCTTTTACTTTTAAATAAATAAGAAAAACCCAAAGCAGGTGCCAGAAATACATTTTGTGACGGTCCCACTGCTAGATGTGCCTGCTAGTTTCATACACGAAAAACATTTTTGAAAAATGAACTAAGATTTGTACCAAAGAATAGTTCAATTTGTTAAAAAACAGGCGTTAACAGGCGTTTTTTCATCATCAAGTTTCATTCACTTTGAAGATTTTCATTTGCGATGATGGAATTCAATCTTCTATTTGTAGATAATGTATGTACATACCACGGGAAAAATAAAGTTTCTTATTTTGTGCGTATATATATATACGCACGAACACGCAGAAAGATCCCATCCCAGTTCTATATGTCCTCTGTACACTGGATACGAATTGTTCATAAATACAAACTGATATAAAAATAAGCTATATGCAAAAAACATTGTATAGTTAAAAAATCGCTTGAGCGAAATCTAAACAGTTTAAAGATTTCGCTCGGTCCCATTAGCTTAGCAAGATCTTAAGTACTTAACAACGTTTATCTTCTAAATTTGTTAGGATCGATTCTTGTTCATGTGCATAGTTTAATCTAAAATGTAAATTAATTAACAATATTAAAAAGAACTCACCTCATATACATTAGGATGCCATACTTTAGTTAAAAATCTAATGGAGGGCGGTGAATACGGATAATCTGAAGGAAATTTCATATGTGCCTGAAACAAAATAAACAAAATGTTAGAATAAAACTAAAGTCGAACCACGATAACTTTGCAGTCAATAATCTGGTCACACCAGAAAAACTTGATCTGGCAGCCCTTTTAAGATGTCATTAAAAAATGTCATTATTGTCATGTAGTGCAAGTCTTTCGATTGAGAAACATTTTTGAAAATTTTTGTTTGTGGAGTGAAAAGAAGAGAGAATGACTCTTTTTCGTATTACTGAAAACTTATGGCAGTATGTTGAGAGCACACCTCCGATGGCGGATGTAATTGGTTGCAAGAGAGATGACATAGCCAGGGCTAAGATTATGGTATATTACCCTAGCGTAACATTTTCATAAGTCCATATCCTAAGGTATATAGTATTTTGTTGCTAATTTGTTGCTATTTTGTGCCGCAAGAATTGATTTTGTTTCTCCAAGATTTCTCCGAAAAACGCGTGTTACGCCAGCCTAATATTACGCTAGCGAAACCACAGCGATATCTCGGAGGCAAAAGCAATTAGAGATATCAGAAGAACGGCATATTTTGTTGCTGTAAGATAAGCTGGTTAGATATGAAAAAATATAAGCCCTTCATGGGGGGCTAACTACCCTTATTCTTAGCGAAACGAGACAAACGGTGTATTTTGTTGCTATAAGATAGGCATGCTGCGTACATCATAATCACAACCCTTATCGGGGTATGACTAACCGCCGACCCCGAAGACATCAGATATATCGTATCTCGTGAGCTAAAGCAGCTAGCGACCCGAGACCAACGGCGTATTTTGTTGCTATAAGATAGGCATGCTGCGTACATCATAATCACAACCCTTATCGGGGTATGACCAACCCCCGACCCCAAGACACCAGATATTTCGTATCTCGTGAGCTAAAGCAGCTAGCGACCCAAGACCAACGGCGTATTTTGTTGCTATAAGATAGGCATGCTGCGTACATCATAATCACAACCCTTATCGGGGTATGACCAACCCCCGACCCCAAGACACCAGATATTTCGTATCTCGTGAGCTAAAGCAGCTAGCGACCCGAGACCAACGGCGTATTTTGTTGTTATAAGATAGGCATGCTGCGTACATCATAATCACAACCCTTATCGGGGTATGACCAACCCCCGACCCCAAGACACCAGATATTTCGTATCTCGTGAGCTAAAGCAGCTAGCGACCCGAGACCAACGGCGTATTTTGTTGCTATAAGATAGGCATGCTGCGTACATCATAATCACAACCCTTATCGGGGTATGACCAACCCCCGACCCCAAGACACCAGATATTTCGTATCTCGTGAGCTAAAGCAGCTAGCGACCGAGACCAACGGCGTATTTTGTTGCTATAAGATAGGCATGCTGCGTACATCATAATCACAACCCTTATCGGGGTATAACCAACCCCTGACCCCGAAGACATCAGATATTTCGTATCTCGTGAGCTAAAGCAGCTAGCGACCCGAGACCAACGGCGTACTTTGTTGCTATAAGATAGGCATGCTGCGTACATCATAATCACAACCCTTATCGGGGTATGACCAACCTCCGACCCCAAAAAACCCGATATTTCGTATCTCGTGAGCTAAAGCAGTTAGCGACCCGAGACCAACGGCGTACTTTGTTGCTATAAGATAGGCATGCTGCGTACATCATACTCACAACCCTTATCGGGGTATGACCAACCCCCGACCCCAAGACACCAGATATTTCGTATCTCGTGAGCTAAAGCAGCTAGCGACCCGAGACCAACGGCGTATTTTGTTGCTATAAGATAGGCATGCTGCGTACATCATAATCACAACCCTTATCGGGGTATGACCAACCCCCGACCCCGAAGACATCAGATATTTCGTATCTCGTGAGCTAAAGCAGCTAGCGACCCGAGGCTTTTTGTCAGGATATTAATAAAAAAATATTGAATCATGACATACCTTCTACAATATTAATTTGGGAATCAAAAATGAATATTATGATGTACGCAGCATTCCTATCATATAGCAACAAAATACGCCGTTGGTCTCGGGTCGCTAGCTGCTTTAGCTCACGAGATACGAAATATCTGATGTCTTCGGGGTCAGGTGTTGGTCATACCCCGATAAGGGTTGTGATTATGATGTACGCAGCATGCCTATCTTATAGCAACAAAATACGTCGTTGGTCTCGGGTCGCTAGCTGCTTTAGTTCACGAGATACGAAATATCTGGTGTCTTGGGGTCGGGGGTTGGTCATACCCCGATAAGGGTTTTGATTATGATGTACGCAGCATGCCTATTTTATAGCAACAAAATACGTCGTTTGTCTCGTGCCGCTAGCTGCTTTAGTTCACGAGATACGAAAAATCTGAGATATCTAAGAATAAGGGTAGTTAGCCCCCCATGAAGGGCTTATATTTTTTCATATCTAACCAGCTTATCTTACAGCAACAAAATATGCCGTTCATCTGATATCTCTAACTGCTTATGCCTCCGAGATATCGCTGTGGTTTCGCTAGCGTAATATAATAGCGTAACAGGCGTTTTTCGGAGAAATCTTGGAACAACAAAATCAATTCTTGCGGCCCAAAATAGCAACAAATTAGCAACAAAATACTATATACCTTAGGATATGGACTTATGAAATTGTTACGCTAGGGTAATATACCTCTAAGATTCTTGTGATGGTAAAACCGCACTGCTTAATACACGCCAAGAAAACAAAAACAGCTAGAGAGAGCTGGGAAGCTTTGAGTACTGCATTTAAGGACAAGGGCATAAACAATCGATGTCGCTTGTTAGGTCTCTTAGTCATTGAGAGACTTTCAATGTATGAATCCCCACGTCTACGTCACAGAGATTATGAGAATCGCTGATGAGTTAGAAGATATTGGAAAGGCGGTAGATGACGAGCTTTTAGCTGCTCTCATGCTACAAGGTTTGGGAGATGAATACGCGACTATGAGAATGGCAATTCAGAATAGCAATATAGTGCAAACAACTGACTATGTAAAAACGAAGTTAATGCAAATAGAGACGCAGAGATATAGGAGTGAGCAAGAGGAGCCCTCCACTACTGACTTATTGTCAGTAAAAGGCAAAAACTGGAATAAAAGAAAGGCGCATAATTTAAACATCAAGAAAATACAATGTTTTATTTGCAATGGCGAGCATAAAGCTAATGTTTATCCAAAGAACACAAATAAGAAGAAGGAAAGCGCTAATGCAACGACTGCTTAGTTTGTAGCAGAGGATTCGCGCATGAATAGAGACTGGAAACTGGACAGCGGCGATTCTAGACATATGACGCCTCGGAAAGAATAGCATATTAACTATGTTTACTTAGTGAACCAGTTCTGATTACCTGTGCGAATGGAAACAGAATGTATGGAGAAGGTCGAGGAGATGTAAGGCAGCATGTTCCTCATCTACGAGCGAACTTAATGTAAGTGAGTTGGTTGAAAGGAACAGAGTGCTAGTATTTTCAAAGAGAGGTTGTTAGATTTATCAAAGGTACTGCATATAAATTGATACAGTCGTACCTCAGTTCCAGAATACAAACTGTAGAGGTAAATGGTGTTAGATCATCTGGATCTCATGTGGAAATGGGCGTTCCCCAGGGTTCAATTTTAGGACCCTTCCTGTTTCTAGTATATGTAAATGATTTGCCATTTTTTGTGGAAAATTTGTGTGGGATTGTATTATTTGCTGATGACACATCTTTATTATTTAACGTTGACAGGCGCAAAAACAACTATGACGATGTGAATAATGCTCTCTCGCAAGTTCTGCAATGGTTTAATGTCAATAATTTAAAGCTAAATGCTAATAAAACCAAGTGTATTCAATTTTCCTTACCTAATGTAAAAGTTGAGCATATTGGAATTAAATTAAATAATGAAAAATTAGATTTAGTAGACTCGACTACATTCTTGGGTATAACGATAGACTCAAAACTGCAATGGAGTCATCACATTACGCTTTTGGCTGGTAAACTTAGTTCAGTAGCTTATGCCATAAGAAAGATAAGACAACTTACTGATATAGATACTGCCAGGACTATATATTTTAGTTACTTTCATAGTATCTTATCATACGGCATTTTACTCTGGGGAACAGCAGCTGATATTGAAAATATATTCATTTTACAAAAAAGAGCTGTGAGATCTATTTACCAATTGAGTAGCCGAACATCTCTTAGAGAAAAATTTAAAGAAATTGTCATTTTGACGGTTGCTTCTCAATTCATTTACAATTGCATACTCCTCGTTAAAAATAATATCAATTTGTATATCAAACACAGTAAAGTGCACAATTTTAACACAAGGAATAGAAACAAGCTTGCATTGCCACCCTACAGGTTACAGAAGGTTTACCGATCTTTTATGGGTCAAGGTATACATTTTTACAATAAAATTCCTGATGCTGTTCTTGAGTTACCCATAAATGAGTTCAAATGTCACATTGAAAGTTGTTTACTTAAGAAAGACTATTATTATACTATTAAAGAATACTTGAATGACAAAACTGCATGGCTGTAACTGCAAAATTGTTTTGTACTTGTTTGCAGTGTCGTACAGATAAATTACCTTAACTCTAAGTAACTATTTTGCAGTTTGGTTTGAGTGGTTATGGGTAGTCATGCTCTCTTAAAAATCTCTTCGGCGGTGTCGTGTGAGGCGGGTCGTTGCGTTCCCTAAAATATGGTTGAGCGAAGCGATGGCTGGTTCATGCGTCATGCTCGTGAACGGGTGCTGCCAGCGGAGATGAGTCTGCTCTTGCTACATTGGGTACTATTAATCGTTGTATTTTACTTTAATGGTACATTTGTTTTTATGCCTAAACAGTAGGACACGGCATTCCTAAACTTTTTTTATTTTTAAATCTGTTTTTTATATTTTTTATTTTATAGTCATAATTGTTTTATCATTTACATTTGTAATGGAAAGTGACTTCATGAGTTATCTCATATTGAAGTCATTTTTCAAATTGACGACTCTGTATATAATACAGGGAGAAAAAAACAGCCC